TTACTCTTTCGTTGCTTCAACACATTCCCCGGCTGACCAGTCCCAACACTACAACTACTATTACTAAGACCCCGTTTCGACTGCCTCAAAGTCGAAACAACTTCAACTCGATCCGAAAAGTACAAAAACCAAGATTCCCCAAAAACAATCCTAACAAAAATTGTACAAACAGTCCTAGCCAACAACTCAACAACCTCATCAAATGTTTTTGTTCCAAAGTGAAACATCCTTAAGATGCCGAACATCTTGTCTCTGCCAAATCAATTTCCGCTCAAAACTTCTCTCACTTCCCTTCTGTGGGTTTGTCTGAAACTTCTTAGTACCTTGTTTTGATTCATTCAAAACCTCCATTTCATTATACAACTTTGCAGTCAAGTGAACATACTTTTCCATTTTCTTAACCATTCCCTCCATGTCTTCAACTAAAAAACCTAATTCTCTAACATCAATACCCCATTCATAACATCTCCAAAAACATGTTGGAAGCCTTGCGAAGTTGGTTCATCAGACTTTTTGCCAAGTCTAGAGACAACATCAGCAACCCTGTTTAATTAATCTAGCCTTCCGAAAACATGATGTTAGCAACTTCAAAAGACAAGATTCCAATGGTTTCGTGTTTTCTAGAAGCGTGGTCGAGAAGAAAAGCGTATTTGAGATTGGAACTTACTTGGTTTCCCATTTTGAGTATACAAATTTCCGCTACCATTGCTGAAGGAGGTTGAGCTGCTTTAAAGATTCTGACTTTGGGGTTTCAACAGCTAAAACAATGGATTTCATTGAGGATTTAAAAATGGGGCTTTTGCTAACAAGAACTGAATGAGAAAGGAGAAGACTTGGCTCTTTTAAGCTTCATTTGAAAAAAAGACCAGATTTTGGGTGGTGGTATTTGAATGTGGTACGAGTCCATGAGAGTTTTGAAAGTGTTGCTAATGTTTTCCATTGGACATTCAACGATCCTCTTGGTTTTCCTTGCCATTCCTTTCACATAAACATACAGAATTAATTCGGGTGCGAGTGCGACATCGATTATCAAGTAACTCACGGATTTAAATGTTAATCAAATTATTGACAGAAGAATCCAAAGCAAATATAAATAAACAGTGAAACCTTGCATCAATGATGCCCATAAATAAACAAATGATTACAAGTTCCAAAACAAGTCAAACAAATATTAAGATAATGATTTCTACATAATTTGTAGAACAATACTTTTCCAAGTACTTTTGATTATAATATCAATTTATCTATGCTGCCCATTTCTTTCACGACCATTCATACCAGATCTGGTCATAGTAATAATAAACCCAGAAAACAAATCAAGTCGGCACCTAATCCGTTCCCTTTTATTATTGTCTCTTTGATTTGAGATATCAATTCCGTTTGCTACCTTTCATTTTCCGTCATTTTCACACTTCCCAAACAGAATAAAAAATTTATGTAAAACAAAGTAAAATGGGGAAAATGCACTCACTGTGTCTATTTTTTTATTAAAAAAGTATAATAATATGAACAGATTATACAAAAATGATGACGTGTTGTACGTTGAACGAAAAGACGAACACACGCTGTTAGATCTAACTACTACTTTTCGTCTTCGTATATGAAACTAAACCGGCACGAACGACGGCACCAACGGTGCCGGCTCGCAACAAAACGGCGCTGCTGGATGCTGCCACATCTTGAACACAAGCTTCTCAGGCTCCGTTTTCTGATTCTGTCGCGGCTTCTGTTCTTGACGAGGTGGCTCTTCCCACGGATCAATCGAGGGAGGAGAAGATGCGAGCGGAGATAAGAGGGGGATAGCAATGTTCCAGCTGGAAACAGGATTGATCTTTAAGGAAGCAGGAGCACGATGTTGAAGTCGGCTGGGCCGCCGCATGGGCCACCGTTGGTGGCGGTGATTTTCTTCGGCGAGGTTGACATGGATGAGATTCTAGGATATCTGACGAGAGTAAATAATTTCTTTTTCTTCGCTGAATGGGTGTGTCAATCGATGCAATGCTTTTGGAGGGCTTTTATAGGAAGGAGAGGGGCGAGTGGATCGCACATGAAAAGATAAGCTTAGCTGGCTCAACTTTTTTTCTTTGACTTTGACTGATTTTTCTCTGGAACATTCCTTTTATTGGTCTGTTTTTTAAACTATTTTTACCTTTTTAAAAATAATTTCATTGATATGTAAAACTTAAAAGTTTCCATTATTTTCATAATTATTTTTATGACTTTATTTTTATTTTGACTAAAATTGAATTTTTTTAACAAATTTAGATTAATATGAAAAAATAGGGACTAAATTTAAAAAAATATCAAGTTCAAGTATTAGATTAAAAAAATACTAAAGGGAATGATCTTTTCCGGAATTGTATTCTTATGTTTAGTTTACGAAAAATATCATTATGAGATAAAAATTTATTACCAATAGTAGCATTGAAAATGTAATCACCTTCAAATTCTTAAATAATGAACAATTCTCACCACTTAGGACATAAATACCTTGAAATAATTTTTTTCCATATAGAAATTTTCAATTTTTATTATTCGTGCTTTACTCAAAAGAATAATAATAATAATAATAATAACATTCAAAGGGTTTAATTTAATAAAATATTAATAAATTTGAGTAATTAAAATTATTTTATATTTTCAATGTTTAGTTATTAATTATTTTATAATTTTATGAGGTGAAAATATTATTATTTTAAAAATATAATTATTTAAAATAATATTTAATTTTAAGTTATTAAAACATAGATGTTATTCATTAAAAATATTATATTTGTCCACTCGAGATCATAAAAATATTTTTATATTATATTATATTTTATATAAATAAATATGGTAGTTATGAAAATTATTTAAAATTATAAGTTTGATATACGAATTATATTAATTACATGTTAAATTTATTTTTTTTCTTTAAACTTAGATAGTGTAATAATTAAAATATTTTTAAGAGTTTTCATTCAAATATTTATAATTTAATATTAAATTTTTATTTTTTAAAAATATATATTACAAGGATAATTTATTAAAATATGCATCTAAGTAATCTTATATTCGACTAACCAAATATTATTAAACAAACTAAACAGATAATATAATATTATAAGGGGGTGTTTAGATCAAGGAATGTGGGATTCCCATGGGAATGAAATCCACATTCCTATGTTTGGTTGGCGGAATCTCATTCCCGGTAATATTTTATTACCAATAGTAGATTTTTTAGGTATATTATCGGGAATATCATTATCTCCTTTCCTTAGGTATTGTTTGATTACCGGCGTTTTGGACTAAAATGTCCTTAAATTTTTTTCTCAAAATATCATTATTTTGTCATTGAATAATAAAAATTCTAAGAAGATTAAATTACAAATTTATCCTTAAACTATTTTAGATTCACAAAAAAAATCTATAATTAAAATTTTATATAAAGTTCAGGTGTTAAAATAAAATTTGTTAAAATAAAATTTTACCTTTCATTAAACCCTTTTATATATTTAATTTTGTAAAATATATATATAAATTTTATGAATTTAAATTTTTTAAAAAATATATAAATATTTTTCAACTTGTTAAAAAAATAAATATATAATAAAGACAATTTGATCAAATATACATTCGAATAATCTTTTATTCCTTTAACCAAACACGATAATCTTATATTCCTGCTAAATCAACCAAACACAAAATACAACATTCTCAGTAATCATATTTCCTGGTAATCTTACATTTCACTGATAATCTTACATTCTGTAAACCAAACACATTCTAAAAGTAATATTACATTCTATTAATCTTATATTTAAAAGTAATTTTATATTCCCTAAATCAAAGTACATTATTATCAGCTGGACTCAAAAGGGAAGTAAAAATCAAGCCAGCCGGCCAGCCACCTCGCCAAGCCGAGAGGGCATTCATCGGTCAAAAACTTCTGTTCTAAGCAACAGAAGGAAAACGCTGTGTCGGCTTACGGTTGAGCTAAGCCCACAGCTTGCAGCTGAAAACCGTGTATGGGTTAAGTCAGTGCTGTCCACGCGCCACTGGATTTAGACCACCCACGCCCAGTAACCGCTTCATATAAACGCTGCTACAAATTTCATCATCATATTTTTATAGTGATTTAATTTTGAATTTCACTCCTCTACTTTAAAAAAAATAGATAAATAAGTTCTACATTTTTAATTTATGACCGATCTTTAATTTTTTTTTGAGGTGTTAAATTATCTTTTAAAAATTAAGGGGGCCCCGACCCATTTTCGTTCGCCCCTATTCATACTTTACAAAAATTTGAAAAGTTTATAGAAAAAACTTGCAGAAATAAACATTTTTTTCTTAATTTTCCAAAAATTGGAACAATTAATTGTTTTTCATAATATAAAGATCAATTTCCAACAAATTATAGTAACAGACCAACTTCTTGCTCTCTACATGAAGTAGAGGGATTAATTCAAATTAGACCTTGTGTATATACACACATATAATATTTGGGGTTAATCAACGGTTAGGACATCAGTTACGTGGTCAATTCTAAGCCTTGCCTTACTGACACGTTTCTGGCCCATATTTTTGCTTTTACTTTTTATTGTCTACCGTGTCATTATGATTTTTGTTTGATTCCGCGCATTTCACATTTTTTTTAAATAAAACTGATTTCAAATTTAATCTAATTAATAATTTTTTAAAATATCTTTTTTTCTTTTAAGCTAAAAATACTTATCAAATTTAGGTGAAATTAATCAAGGATATAAATTTATTTAACATAAATTTCTACGTTTATTAACAAGATTTTCAATAATTTAATTTATTTATTATTTTTCTTTTTTGCATTAAGAAAATTAGTTTGATGATATTACAACTTTAACACAGTCAAAAAAATACTGTTGAATGTAGATTTTGAATAGTCAATTTCTTTTTTCTAAAAGAGAATAATTGCCATTGATAATAACCAAAATTTACAAAATTGGGCTTCAAATGGACTACTAAAAGAAGCCCCCCTTAAAAGCAATGTTTGCAATGTAGTCCCTCTCTTAAGTACGTGCATCATTAACAAAATTAGAGGGTTATATGTGTATAGACACATAATCATCTGAAAAGCATTTTGAGCTCTTCAATCCTAGCTGATCTGACTTCTTCATCAGTTAAAGCACCTGCAATCATCTTCTCCTTCCTTGCCTGAACTTGTTGCATCCTTTCTTCAACTGTTTTCTGGAATCATATCATTTGTTCATCTCAGTTATTGTTCATTGATGGAAACAAACCCAGAAAGAACACATTTGAGAGTCTGAAACTCACCTTAACAATGAACCTTCTAACAGTGACTGTTCTCTTTTGTCCGATTCGATGAATTCGCATGATTGCTTGTTCCTCAACTGCAGGATTCCACCAGGGATCCTACAAAGGGGTGACCACAAATTTAGATCAAAACAGAAGAATTTGATTCTCTTGTTTTCTATATGTTTTGTAATATTACCATTAAGAACACATTAGATGCAGCAGTTAGATTCAGGCCTACCCCACCAGCTCTCAAAGACATCAGCAAAACCTACAAACATGAAAAAAGAGTTAAAACAGGAATTTGATTCAATGACTCATCAGAAATTTTCTGTTGGGGCTTCACCGTTTTCTCTCTTGTGTCATTGAACTCTCTCAGAACTCTCTCCCTTTGTTTTTGAACCAGTTTCCCATCGAACCTTAAGAATCCGATACCTCTTCTCTTTAATGGGATCTCCAAGAGGTCTAGAAAGGATGTCCATTGGCTGAACACGATGCTCTTTTCACCGTGGCCTGACCGACGAATGCGTTCTAAGCACTCTAGCAGCTTTGAAACTTTTGATGACTCTTTCCACTTGCTCTCGATATCGACCCGGAACTTGTTCTCGGTTGGACATGTTATGAGGTCAGTTTTCTTCAGCACTGTCCTGCAGATTGGACATAATCCGACTGTTGGAGTCCGCCAACTCGAGAGGAGACATTCCCTGCACATCCTGTGTGCACAGGGCGTGAGGACAGGATCATCTGCAGACTCCATGCATATTGGACATTCTGTGTTTTCACCCCTCCGAATACCATCAACAACTTCTTCGATGTACGCTTTGGTTGGGGCATTTTGAGTTGTAGTAATGGAATCGGAGTGAATTTCAAGGAACCGTCTTGCAAGTTTGTTCAAATCCGAATACTGCTGTGAATCAGCTCGACTGCATATACCCCGGATTCAGAAAAGAACAGTTAGAACAGGTGGTTGCAACATTGCCTCAGTCAAAGTTCATGAAATACATTACTTACCTCATAACAAGAAAAGGGTGGTTGCAACATTGCCTCAGTCGAAGTAATAGCTCCAGAATGGATGCATAATTGTGAAGGACCTTGCCTTGTGCAACAAATTGATCAAATTGAACCTGTTTAGTTCAAACAGAAATGTTTTAGCTTTCATCCCGCTTACTCAACTCGAAAAAGCAAGAAATTGTATAGATACATGGTGTGAAAGATGTTTGTACACATACTTTAGATCTTTTGAATAGAGCATCATAGAAATCACGTTCAGCTTCTGATTGCTCACACTCAATGGTTTGAATATCAGTTGGAGGAAGAATAAGAATTGGCCTAAAGACATCAAACACATGAAACATCAAGATCCTGAATGACGATTCAGGTCGGCGGAAACTAAGAACCGAAAAGTTTGAATGGGGGCTTAGAGGTGCTCACCTTCCTTCTTTATCCTTTGTTTCCTTCGTTCTTCTCAACATCAGCAGCCGTAATATAGCTTTGATCCATTTTAATCCTGTTGGATTACCATTCTCATAAGGCCCTTGAATCTTTGCCTTCCACCTATATAAATGCAAATGACACCATGAACAGAGAAATACATAAAGATGGTACATAAAGTTATTTGAACTTGTTTATACCATGCCCAGTTGCACCATGGTTCCACATGCAAGAAGCACAGAAGGCTATAGAGATCTTCCAAATTGTTCTGCAGGAAACGACGACGAGGAAAACAAATTAAGCACACGCTATCATGGAAGAGGAAAGAATTAAGGGCTAAAGCAAACCTGAAGCGGGGTTCCAGTGAGACACCAACGGCAGTGTGCTGACAATGCAAAGCAAGCTCGAGCTCCTATCGTTTTCGAGGATTTAATTGTATGAGCTTCATCTAAAACCACCCTATACCAGTCAACCCGGTGGTAAATGCTGTTCTCGGCATCCTTTATCAGAATGTCAACATTATTCAGTCTAAAGAAGAGTAACTTATAATTTAAGACATGCATCGGAATATTTTGGAGTAAAAACTCATCTCAGCAGAGAGATAGCTAAAAGGAATTAAGCATTCTCTTACACTTTTATAAGAAGCAGTTAGGACCCCATATGTTGTCAAGACCACATCATGCTCGGAAATCACCCTGGGATCGTTGGTTCTTTCACCACCATAGTGAACAAAAATAGATAGAGTTTCAGGTCTTGTGTGAGTTTCGAGTTCATCCTGGGAATTTCACTAGAATTCATTAGATATCACATAAAAATTATTGTCACAAGGCAAGTAACAATCTATCATCCTTTAACTCTTGATGCGAGAGGGAATAAGAAATTACCTTCCACTGGCTTAACAAAGCCATGGGACAAATAATAAGAGTGCCTCCCTTTGCTCTGCGTGGAACATTACCATAAGCATCTTTCTTGTACGAGGTCCTGCTATCATCAGCTTTTCTCAAAACAGTTTTTTCACTATCGGGATTTCCTTTACCAAGCTTTGAAAGGATTAGAGCAATTGTCATCACAGTCTTTCCAAGACCCATTGCATCCGCTAGAATCTGTAAATATTGTCGTCTAGTTAGAGCCAAAAAATAATATCATTGCCAGGACCAACCCAAATAAAAATGGATTAGAGTAACATACTCCTCCTCTTGCCATCTGCCTAGCACTTGGGAAATGAATTGTGGCTTCTCCAGAGAAGACATTTACATAGATTGAGGAAGCCCTTCTGCTAGAAAGAATGCATGGTCAAGTTACAGATTACGTCACCAGATGGCTAAATGCTTTCTCAAAGTTCACAATGAAAACAATATACATACTCATCACATATGTGATACTCAGACCAGCATGGATGAAGAGTTTGTGCAGCTTTCTCAGCATCGATTCCTTTCTCCCACTGGGACATCCAATAGAGAGCTTGTTTCTGATATGACCTCAACGTGCACGTGAGTGTATACGGAGGCTCCATTTCCTAAAAGATTGCAAACGAATAAGAAAACATAGAGCAGTGCTTTGTTAATAAATTTCCAAACCAGATGCTTGAGAGTGCCTTGCCTCCAAATTGTATGTATCTGCAGCACCAACAATCTTATTCAAAGATGCTTCCGAAATAACTTGTTCATCTTTACTCTGCTCTTGAGAATCCCTCCTTCGTTTTGCTGCAGGCAAAGCTGCAGCCACTCCACCATAATCATCCTGTCGTAATCAACAAACGTTGTCAATTTCATGTCTTTCAAACTCGATCAACGATGAACGAAGCTAATGTGCAAATATGAGTCTAAGACTAATAGATGTGCATTAGAATTTAGAAGAATACAATGGCTACTATATTTTAAAGGTTCAAAGTACATCGGTTGTGCAACCATAACTGTTGCTACATACATACATTATTCACTTCGTATTCCTGAACTGTTAGTATCAAGGGTAAAGAACACCACTCACCAACTAACTTGGTCTAAAAAAGACTAAATAGACAATGCATCAATTCGTTAAACCTATGTGTACAGACACTTGCTAAACGAACAAGCAGTTTAGACATCAGCAATAAAAATTAAGGCTTAACTAACACATAAAATTAAGAGGGAACTGAACATACTTCTATATGGAGAACATGCTTTCCGGAATTCAATTCCTCTGGAGTGAATGCAGCCTGGTGGTAAATTAAAAAAAACAGCAGAAGGAATCACATAAGAATTCACAACAATGTTATGGCAAAAACCATTAAGTATCATCAAACCAGAGGATTGGGGGAATGAGTACCTTCTGGCATGGTTTTATTTTAAGGTATCTGAACAGATCAAGCAAAGGACTAAGCATATACTCCATGCTCCAAGGTGCATCAAACATCCAGGGAGATTTGTCACTCGATTCAAATACTGAGCTGTGAATGTAGAAGCTGCCAAACATGACAAAATATGACAACATAATTGGTCACACAACATATTACAATCAAGAAGAAAATAGATAATCAAAACCTTACCTTACAAATAACATGATTTCTTGCATTATGCTAAGTGTTGCTGGAGCAGCTATACATCGACCAACAACTTTAATCTTACTAGAATATACAAGGGGATTCACCCATTTTGCCCAATCCATTGGAAGTCGACCAATCTAGAGAAATCACCAACAAAAAATTATAGGTTAAACAAAGATTACTCTTTTAATCCCACAAGTCAAGTGCTGGTGAGATAAACTAACCTCTCCACAACGCTTAGTGGAAAAACGAACAATGGACTGAAGCTTGTGGCTGGCTCCTGGAGAAGGGAAAGTGAAGTAAACAATCTCATTATGCAACAATTTGTTGTTCCCTTTCGTTGTTGAAACAGCATTCACGATTGTTCTTCCGACCAAAAACCAGTCTGGGTCTTCGGGAAAATCACCGTCTTCTACTAAAACACCATTCACTCTCCTCTCTCGTGGTACCTCTTTCTTTACATCAACCTGTTTCTGTAAACATTCGAAATCAGGTTCCTTTTTCACGCATGGAGGATCATGAGGAACTTCTTTAACCTGGGTTTTGCAGGACTCTTCAAAAGGATCCGCTGATCTTGAATCTTCCTTCACTCGAACTGCACCATCAAACCCCAAACCAGGCTCCTCCTTCACATTAATCTCCATGGAAGCGTCACTCTCGAGACCCGAACCAGGCTCTTCCTTCACTTTCAAGAGAGGCTCGTGCTTCACTCGAGTCAGAACCGGCTCAGATCCTTCAAACTGACCACCTGAGCCGATCAGGGCAGTAGAAACACGAAACCCAGTGGCTGTAACCGTTCGACTAACGGTATGTCCAGGAAGGGTTGAATCGGGGCCGTTGGGGTGGAACTTAACGACAGAAACAACTTTGTCATCCATGGCGGATTGTGCTTGTTGAATCTTATTGTCTTCTACCTGAATAACTTAACACAGATATGAAGAAGAAGAAATACAACTGAGAAAAATGGGATTTTGGGGGATAATAATGGTGGGAGAATGTGGGGATTTGGGAGGTTTTAGTACTATAAGTTTGGCGCGAAACTTTTTTTACCGCGTTGGGAGGTTTTAGTACTAAGGCGCCAAAAGAGGTGCTGTTAAAAAGGTAAGAAAATTTTTAATCATGATGTTGCCAAATGGAGCTTATTTGGGTAAATTAATAGTATGACCAGTTAACTATTTATTCTTTTCACTTTAACCATCAATGCTTTGATTTTTCCAATTAGACCTCTTAATTTTTTTTTGATTATGCTAAGGAGATTATATCATTTGATGATGAACGCTCAGTCGTTCTGTTACATTCGTTTGTGTTCGGACTCGTGACCTCTAAGAATAACAACGATGTCTTTACTCATTGTGGGTTCAACCCACACAAGAAATATGCCCAACTACCCCCATGAAATCAACCATCCATTTCACAAACAACAACCCAGGAAATGTGCCCACCGACCCTATGAAATCAACCATCCCTTTCACAGACAACATCCCAAGAAATGTGCCCAACTACCCCATGAAATCAACCATCCTTTCGCAAACAACATCCCCTTGTTCTACAGTTTAATGGTGAACGTTCCTCCTGTAACATATGCCAACAGACACGACGTAGGGGATTTCTTTATTGTTGTGCATTGTGTAAGTTTTCTGTTCGCATTAAATGTGCCGAGTTACCTTCTAAAATCAGTAACCCCTCCCATCGTAGACACCCTCTTGTTTTACAGTCCAACCATGAAAATATACCTTGCAAGGCATGTCCACAAATCCAAAATTTGTTTATTCTTGTTCACCCTGTAATTTGCTCTTAATACGGAGTGTGCAACACAACCACCTTTCATTATAGGAGAATATCATCAACACCCATTCAGCCTGTTCTGTAAAGAAGCCTTTCCGTTCACTTGTGATGCATGTGGCCTCGAAGGGAATTATGTTTCCTATATGTGCTCTGCATGCTCCCTTGTAATCCATCCAAAATGCGTTTCAATACCACCTATCATCAAAGTCCCACGGCATGATCACCCCATTTCCCACAACTATTTTCTCGCAGGAAATGAGTTCACGAATCGGGATTGCGAGCTTTGTGACACCGAGGTTAATATAGATCATGGGAGTTACTATTGCTAACAATACAATTTTATTGCTCATGTGAAGTGTGCAATGAGAGAAGGCTGGTACGTTATACTTGAGGCAAAATATTTACATAAGGAACTTGATGATGATTTGGCATCCATTAAACCCATCACTCGTGTCATTGAGAAAAATGAGGGTGGAAAATTGACAAGAATAAAACATTTCAGTCATGCACATGATCTAATATTAAGCGACAATTTCATGGATAATGATAAGACTTCTGATGGTTGCATGCTACTCATCTCAACTTCATTTTACTATTGTTCCTCCTCCTGTGACTTCTATCTCACAAAACTTGTGCTGAATCACTCAGAAAGAAGTTGCGTTGGTCTCATCCACATCTACAAAGGACTCATCCTTCTTGTCGGCTACATTTTCAAATCCGAATCTTGCAGGAGTAAGAGTAGTGGCTTTGCCTATAAATGTGGTGTATGTAGTGAGCATGATTGTCTCTCATGTGTGGTCAACAGAGTATATAGAATCACACATCCAGCACATGAACACCCTCTCTTCTTTTTACCTGGGTCCCAAGGGTGTTGCAAACCTTGCGGTAAATTATGGACAAACCGATACATATGCAAGCGTTGTGATTTCATTGTGGATGCTTTTTGTTTATCATTGCCGCTTACAATCCGATATAGGTGTGATGAACATCTGCTCGTGCTTACATATCATGTGAACAATGATTATTCAGAATATCTTTGCTGTGACATCTGTGAGAAAGAAAAGAATCCAAATCACTGGTTTTATCGTTGGGCAACTGGTGATTTATCTGCTCATCGCGAATGTGTTCCTCAAAGCCGTCTGTTATCAAACTGTAGACATCTATTTTTGTTCGATTTAAAAAATATTATTAATTATTAATTATTAATTATTAATTATAACCTAAACTACTAAATGAACCAAATACCTACTCACTATCCACCACTAAAACCCACTCAATCCACCACTAAATCCACTCAAAATACCTACTCCACTATACCCACTAAACCTAATCATTCTCCACAAAAAAAAAACATCATAAATACATCACATGCAACCATCATTGAGAGGAAGAGAAAAGCATCCGGGTGAGAGGGAGGAGAACTGGGGTGAAAGAAAAAATAGAGAAAAAAACATAAGGAGGAGAAAAGAAAAGGGAGGGTTCTCACCGTGCATTGTTTGGTTTCTTGGCCAAATACCAAGCAAATTTTTTAATGCTTCAGGTATGGAATATTTGTGAAGCAGACCGTGGTTTGTAATTTTCATATCTTTATCATCAATGAAACTTTTAATATTTTTTCGTTTTGATTTCCTATGTTGATTATATTGTATTTTCGTCCCTATTTACCTTTAAATGTTTTATGGTTTTATTTAAGCATGAGCTATCGTTTCTTATTTTATTTATAATTAAGATATATATTTTCATGCTAGATTGTTTTAGTCCTTATATGGTTGACTGTTGTATGTTTATTAATGTTTGATTTTGGTCCCAATTTTTTTAGTTATTTTTTAGTCATTATATGAGCATTTAGGATTAATTATTATTTATGAATTATTTTCATTTTTAGTACATGTACTTTTTAATATTGGAAATTTTGAATTTATTTTTTTATAATTATTATTTTAGTCCCTTAAATGTTTTTTTTGCTATTTTAGTCATTTAAGTTTTTGATTTTATATTTTAGTCCTTTAAATTCCTGTTTTTGCTATTTAATCTCTTAAGTTTTCGTTATACTATTTTGGTCTTTTAAGTTTATAAATGTCAATTGTTTAAAAGAATTTTCTTTAAATAATTAATTCGAAGCAAATTATTTAAATTTCAATAAACATATCATATTTTAACTTTTTATTCAATTCATGATTTCCACTATTTACGATAACATGTAGGCGACACAGTACCAATTTTGGGCGTTGTGGGGTTGTTAATCATTTCCCACACATAACCGACTCCCGAACCCGTTTTAATCGAATCTTTGTAAACGCAGACCAGCTTTTTTCATTCGACCTACCTAACAAAAAGGTCGATGACGACTCTTTCCAATTTATTCCAAATCAATTCAAAACCAGTAATTTTTCTAAAATTAAAAGTCGTAACCATTTTTAAACAATAAATAATTGTTCCACCTAAAAATGGTTATGACAACTTGGGATTTTTTAGAGAGTCAGGATGTTAGTCGTTTACACATTGTCGTTGTGGTGGAAATTATGAGTTCAAGTATTTAGTTAACTTATGATTCATTTATTGAAGTTTTAATTGCTTCATTTTTTTATTGTCATACTAACATTTGAATCTTTGCTTTCAGATCTGTCCAAGTTTTTGTCGAGTGGTTTCGTTTTCCTTTCGAGTCAAAGGGTTTTTCCTTACACACATCACGAGCATTTGCATAACATAAGCTATATACCGAACTCTGAACCCTTTCTAAGTGGGGGTGAAAGCGACACCTTCGTGAGAATTTATTCTTTGTGCGGGCCTAGCAAGTAATCTTCGGGATTCATATACCTTATGTCTTCATGTGAATTTATTCTCCGTGTGGACATAAGGGAATATATCCTCTCGAATTGAACTCGTTCCGCTCGAAACCTGTAATGGGTGAGGATCGAGGGTTTAGAAGCCCAAGGGGGCACCGACATCAAGGACAATTCAAGTACCTTCCTCATAAAGCCGAAACAATACATATAGTGAACCATAGAACAATCACCATAGGTATAGTCATACCGAACCTCTGTCCGTCAGTAGGTAGCCAAATTAAGTGTACACAAAGGAAGAGCATTTCTTAACCTTTCCTTTTGCTTTAAATTCTATTGAATAACAACATGTGAACTAGATACCATGCGGTTAGGATTAATTTATTGTAAATACATCATTGTGGGTAGAAAGCATGTTTGGGTAGGATTACTATCTAATAAAAGCATGCTCGGGTAGATATCATGACGGGTAGGTGTTATATTCATCTTTGAATGACATTTTTATCTGTACCAATTGTCTTACATGTACTAACTAATTTCACTTTTTTTTTGTTTGCGTACATTAACTTATCTTCCTTCTTTTGTTTGTGTCATTTTTTCATCATTCTCTACATTGCATTTGCATTGTCATAACATAATGCAAGAGGTGTTGATCCACAAAAACGTTTTCGTTAAACATAAATAATTTGCATTAATAGACAAAGGGGTTGTAATACAAGAGATGAAAAGGAGGACAATCTACAAGATAACTAGGTGTCACATTCAATCAAGAAGACGTGGTGCCCATAATCAAGGACATCAAAAGTCAACTTTTCAAAAATGGCTTGGCAAAGGTTGCAGAGGCAAGACGAGAAAAAGGTTACTGTCCTGGAAGGTCCCTTCAAAGACAACAAGAACAAGATGGCAAAGCGATAGTTGAAATTGGAGGTCATTGCTGACGAATTCAAGAAATAGACAAATGAACTTCGGATAGCTCCTACCGATGGAGAGCTCCAATGGTGTTTACATTAAAGAACATGCTCAACAAAGGATGAAATCCAGAGATGCATTTATTCGATACTTCTGGGAACAAGTACAAAGAGTAGCTCGTCACTTGCACGGTTTAGCCAGAGAAGTCGGAGAGGTTTGACAGGGTATTTAACCGGTGACAGACGAAGGCAAAAGACTAGTCAATATGTCATAAGCTGTCAGGATTTTTTTTGTCTCTTAAGAAATAACACTTTTGTCCAAATAAAGATTATTTATAATAACAAACATGTTTTCGGATCAATGCTTCAAACATTTCATGTATTTTTCATTTTGCATTTACATTTCATTTTTAGCAT